TGTTTTTCAAGAGAGGGATGGCTGAAGAAAGAAGGTAAATTTAATAATTGTTAAGAAGAAGAACCAGATTTATTGCCCTTAGAATTCGTTTGTTGCTTAATACTTTCAAATAATTCCCCTTTCCTTTTTTTCTTAAACCGTAAATTATTGCCATCATTAACTATCATTATTATCACTGCAGTTATCATAAACATCAATACTAACAAATGGCATCAAAATTGTTCATACGACAAATCATCCAACATAATATCGTAATCGTTTATATTGGAAGGATTAAGCGAAAGATTGTAAAATTTTCTGAAAAATAACAATTTCTTTTTTTTTTTCAAAAAAAACGATAACTATTGTTTGTTTGTCTATTTATTTATTTTTTATTGTATTTACTTATCACCTGTGTACATTATCTTAATAACTAAATATTTATATTGCTAACACTTTATGTACACTATTATATTTGAATGATAATTTTATAATTTATTTAAATTGAGGAGATAGATGGAACGAAAATAGGGAGGTGTAAGTAGAAGAGGTTGGTTTAATTTTGATGAAGAAGAAGATGAAGTTGACAATTTTATACTTAAATGGTGAATAAACTATTTCATTTTACAACAACAAATTTACAGCTTAAAAATAATAATGTTCCATTTGGAGGTTGCAATGTACGACATTCGTTTGTCGTTGGTAAATTATAGTACTTAAATATTTGATAAAATTATGTATACAAATTGTTCTGTAAAAGTGTTTTATGAAGTACATTTAAACAATTCTTAATTGACAATTAATCGATTTTTATAGTTTGAAAAAAAAATGTTCGAGTATGAAAAAATTTTTATTCTATAATCAATTATATTGTATAATTTTTGGTATATTTTTTTAACGTCTTTCAGTTATTACGATCCTGTCTGATTAACGATTAATAATTTAATCTGCAATAGATTTTACTTTTTGATTTTCAGATGATTTTTTTCATTGAATTTATTTCAAGTAATAATTTAAGCTATGATCGAAATAAGTTGAGAAAACGATAGATGGCCATCATAGTTATTGAACATCACCGATAACTATGATGACGATTAAAGCTTTTAATGTGATACTTACTAATATATTTTTACATGCTTAATAAAAATTTTATTAATTCTGCTTAAAGCAATTCGAGTGTATTATTTGATATAAATTATTTCTGCGATTATTACCTTCACATGATCATTTCCTAAGAGATATAAATTACAATCATTGTTATGTTTTTTCAACTGTTTTAAATTCTGAAAGTTACTTGGTGTTGAATTTTTCGCAGTGAAAAAAGCAAAAATTTTTATTCGAGAAGTCGAAAATTAAATTTATTCTATTTTTTTTTTCAATTTTTCCAAAAAAAGAAAAAAATAGGATTAATACCATTTATCTCACCGATATGATACCGTATGACACAAAACAAAACCTAAGCAGATGTACAACAATATCAGCTTTTCCAATTTTTAACAAATTAATGTAGATGACCATCATTTGATGAAAGTTATGAATTAATTTATCCCAAATGCCATGTCATTTTTAATATTGTAAAAAAAATTTATCCAAAATCCTTCAACTTCTTTTTTTTTCTTTTTTCTTTAAATTTTGAAAGAAATATCAAAATTATTTAATTCATTTCTTCCATACAATTATTTATTTATGAAATACTTCAGCGAAGAATTCCAAAATCGAATATAATAAACTGCTAGGAAATGCATATGTATGGCGTATTTCATTTTTAACAAAATAAGACTTTAACAGAATTTAATAATTCAATCTGAGTTAATTTAATCCAAAAACTTTTCACTTATTTATTTAATAAAATAGATATGCATTTGATATGTATTTAACTTATTTAATAAAATAGATATGCGGCTAAATGTTAAAAAAAAACATGATGAAACAAAAACGGTTAAGCAACCGACAAAACGAAAATCTTACTAATATTAAATATTGTTTTAGATAAATAACAAAGTACTACTGCAATTTATTATTTATTTTATTATTTATTACTATTTATCGTTATTATTATTATTGATCATTATTAATTATCGATAATTAATTAATTATTAATTATTATCATTATTACCATTATTAGTATTAATTAATTAATTAGTTAATGTAAGACCAGGATAAGATTATGGCGGAAAAAGAATATAGCATGAAGTAAATCAAAATTTTCAATTCAGAATTAATAAAAGATTACCTTATTAAACACTAAGCTAAGTGGCTGGAAGAAAGTCAAAAGAACGATAATATTATGAATATACTGCGTAACAGTATCAGTTATGATAATAATCGATACATATCGATAAACAATAAGTAGTAATTATTGAAAGTGCTAAAGGGCGGAATTCTCACACCTTTGTTAACATATTATAAAAAATGCCGATTGGCATACTAAAGGTAGCAGTAATAGCAGCTGTAGTTATTATAGTTATATTATATTTATATGTGCACACTCACATACCCACGTACACAGACATACACCCACACATGCACAAACACAAACATATATAATTATTGGAAGATGTGATTTGGTGGAAAATTTAAAAGGGAAGAATGAGATAGTCAATAAAATGAGAATCGGAAGAGATTCGGAAGAAAACTTTTACAATGTATTGGAAATATAATCAAATTTCTCAATGCGGACGCTTCTTTTTTTCTCTTTATTTGAAAAATATGCAAAAGTTTATTTTTAATTTTAAAAAGAATACGAAATGGGAAGCGATCATTTGACAAATTTTTTGAAAAATGAAAAATATTACCAAATGAAAAAGACAAAGGAGTCGAAAAAGTTAACATTAAATGGTAATCCCATAATTTTTTCCTTCTTTCCTGTTAATCTTGAAGTTATTTAATAAAAATCTTCGTTTTTTTGCAGAAAATTATTTAAACTTTTATATTTCCAACAATTATGTACACCTCTCATGTATATTATTGACATTTTCGCACATAAATTATGCGTAAAAATATAGCAAAGTTGTACATAAATCTCGAAATCTTCAAGTAGTCAAAACTTCTGTCAAACACTCAACAAATATTAGTTGTATAGTGCGAACAAAATATAGGATTTGAAAAAATGTAAAACCATGACACCTTATAGAATAGTTATATTTAATTAAACTCGTGGAAATTATAATTCGCAGCTAAATGAAGTTCTTAACATCTATCATTATGTTACATATCTTCTACGGAATACTAAAATGAGTTTAGGCAACAGAAGAATTAGTTCGACAATTATCTTCCGATGAGAAGGCTGAGATAAAATGTCCCAGATCTTTTGTTATGATGTTGGCACAAGAACGACCAGCAGAAAAAAAGGACTGGGTTGTAGTTTTCAAGGAAAATATCTGATAAACTTTGATCTATAGGATGGTCCTGTATTTTAACTGTACAACGACTAATATGAAAAATTTATTACTGTAAAAAAAGAAATTTGGTTTTAATATTGTTTTAGATCTGTACCGGCGTACACAATAATTATACGTAAAATATAAAATATAAAAAACATGCTCCTTCAAACAACCAAAATAGTAATGAAACTGGAAAAGTATTGCGTATGCAATGATGATTTGAAAAAATATAAAATTAAAAACATATAAAATATAAGTATGAATATGATGGTGTAAAATACTGACTTCATTACTAATTGTATGTTTTAATGAGTATAAGATTCTAAAAACTACGGCTAGAAAGTGTAAGCGAACTAAATAATACCTTGTCCCAAACTGGTCCCACTTAAAAGCAGACAAAACTTGTGGAACAACAATACTTGTGATTTAAGAAGCCTAAAGCGGTTAACGGTATTCTTTTTGACATGCAGTTAACGGCACCCTTTTTGATATGCCTAAATCATAGCAGTCACCAATCTAAATTCACAATATTTCAAAAGCTTTATTTAAAAGTTCACAACTAAAGTGAAAAAAGAAACATAACAAAAAAAAACAAATATTTTAAACACCGAATATTTCATTGTAATAAGTGTTTCAAAAAGCAATTATTCATCAAAAAAAGCCAGCTGAAAACCATCAATCTGTGGTTCCTTACGCTGCCACATGCCCAGGCCATTTTCATGCAGTTTCAAGTGGAATGCTTGCAATGCCTGTTGATATACTACTTCGCTTTGTTTTGCTTCTGAACAACTCCAAACAGGTTTGTATTCATCTGCTTTAACCGCTGCCATTACGCGTGCCCAACTTTCGTACAACTCTGATTTACAAAGACGTGATGGTGAACCAGTTACTGTGCGACCGGTAAATGGATCCAAACGTTCAATGGTTCCTAAACAAAAAAAATCTCACTGGAAATACAAATATAAAAGTTTAGACAAAAAAACTATGGCTTCTTAGAAGTATAAATGATATACATACAGGTTCCTTTTCCAAAAGCTAGATTAAAACTTTAGAAAGAAATTTGGAAATTCATAAAAATTGAGAGGCTATAATATTACAAGTTGTAAGGGAATATTTGCTAGTCGAAAAGAACGGTTGCAATGAGAATTAAACAGAATTAACAAGAAATTAGTAAGTTAAACAAAAAAGACACCTATTCCGGAAACCCAGTTATGATACATTTCTCCGTGAGGTACTACACCAGTTTGAGAAGATTTTACCATTAGTTCACCTCTTCGCATATCACCAAATCGAAGCAGTACAGCTTGTGTGATCGCTTTGTCATTAGATGGTACACCAACACACAGATGTGTCATGAATATCGGTTCCAGAAGACGTGAAAGAAGTGCTCCTTGCAATCCTCAAATGCAAAAGATATGCACAGCAATAATCAAATTTATTACAAATTTTGAGAATGCCGAAGATTTTTATTTCAACAGATTTCATTTCCTGGTCCTAAATGTTATAAATCAGAAAATTTCCGATTAAACTTGAAAATTTCAAAAATTAATTCATTTTGGATTAATGGAATACTTGTTACATTAATCAATGTTATTTAATTTTTTGCAACAAAACATGAAACAAACCCAAATAATTCCACTTTAACATCTTATCAGCCAAACTCATTACATAAACATGTCCGGAAGTACCGATATCAGCAAAAGTTTGTGGGTTTTCCGGGGGGTCTTCCAATCGAGCTCCTCCCATATAGCATGATAAGTTTTGTACTTCACCACTAGTGCGCAAATTTGGTGGGAAAGATATATATAGCACAACTTGGTAACCAGTCTAAAAATGAATAAATAATTGTTCTTGAAAGAAAACTTTCTAATAAGATTAGCTGTAAGAAAAAACAAATCGAAACAATAAAGAATAACTGTAGTACCAACTAATGTCGTCTATTGATTGTCAAATTTTATCTCACATTTCTTCTATTAAAAGATAATGTAATTTGCAGATTGAAACATTTAATAAAAAATTGTTAACAAATCAAGTGTACCTATAAGGAGCATGAAATACTTTTGGAAAAGTGAAACAAACTTTGAGACGGAATTTATCTGATGTCGGAGAATGTTCGACAACGCTATTTTCCGCATTATGATTCCTTATTTGGTTATGCAGGAAGAGAACAAATGCACGACGTGCTAAAACCGTACCTAGAAAAATCTTTTATTCGAAAAATTTCAAGTTAACAACGCCAAAAATCGGAATTTAATTCATTTACGACAATTAATAAGAAATTAAATCAAGTTGAACTGGATTCAATTAGAGAAAAACTTTTACTTTGCATATGAATAAGCACATTGCCTTGCGCATTTGTCAAGATTTGACCGTCAATAACGGCGTTACGGCCTGCTCCAATCGCAACCAATTGTTTTTCACCATTTGGTGAAATTAAAACAAAACTGAAACTAAATACTTGAAAAAAACCTATAATCAAGTTCACTTAAATGTAAAAACGAGCCTTAGGTCAACTAAAAAAAATTATCTTTCAAGCTAATTCCTATGACTCACTTTGAATATGAATTAAACTTACGCAGATATATGAGTAGTTATAGGACATGCTTGCTGGTGACATACTCCTTCATATTCCCGACGAACAAAAGCACAGATGTCGGCACAAAAAAGTACATCTTCTTCGTTCTTCAATTTTTTCATTGATATCATTTCAAGCGCATTTTCAGCACAAAGATCGAACTGAAAATGGTGAGAATACCACAATAAAATACTGCTTAAAATAAATAAAAAAAATTATTTCATTTACTCCCCTTTAATTTAAAATCTATTCTGCCTTTCGCTATTAATCTTGTCGATGGTTCTATTCTCTTAATTCCTAGCTCGACTTTAGGCAATAAAAATTCTCTAAGGTCCTACAAATACACCACAACACAATGAAATTGTCAGATCGGAACTGACGCTTACAATATTTGATTTCTGCGAAAATCCATGATCGCAGTCATGTATCATGTATCTATCTTTTCTTTAATAAAAACACACTTCTAGTCATTTTACTATTTTCAAGCTTTACTTTATAGTTAAGCTAATCAGAATATGAAAAAACTCATATGCTGAGATACACAATTTGCACAATACATTACGTACACATAATCCTAGTGCTCCTTGAGTAAATTTTTTCAAACTTCAATAGATAAAAAATGAACCTTGAATAATTTGGTCAATGCTTGCTCAGCAGCAGCACTTTTAGCAGTTTTCTTTGATTGTCCAATACCTTCAAACTTATTTGTACCATTTATAGTTAATGTACATTTGAACATTGGTGGTTTACTGGGTGATTCGCTGATATCTTGTGGTTCATCATACACTATATCTGGGTTCTTTTTACGCTGTAAATATGGCTGAATGGAAATTCAGTAGTTAATTCAAGGTTTCATTTGTGAATTGAATCATCGGAGCAACATATTATCGAATGTGCTCTTACTGTATACTCATACAATTATGCTCTTAGGCATGTTAAACAACTTAAATTAGAGAATTATGCCTTCGACGTTGCTAATGATTTTTAACACGGCGATTCCGTAAAAAAAATAATGAATTTTCATCATTCAAAAAATCAATTCTTCGAAAAGAGACAGCTGTTTGCAACTGGACTAATTTCAAAAGCAATGTTATTAACCCCATGTGCGCTTTTATTACGGGGCTCATCAAAGTTTTCCGAGAACACAATATTTCTTGATGAGCGTTATTCGTGCATAAGCTTTTCAAGAATAGTATTTTTCATCTTTTCTATTCAATTTTATTGTTTCACTACTCTTGAAGATTATTGGCCATATAAATAGTCTCAAAAAAACCGATATTATTAACTTGTTCACTATAACGTTGTGAAATTTCTTGTGAAACTATTAGTTTAAGAAAATATTTTCTCTAATCTAAGAGCACTTACATTTTGCTTCAACATTAGTTGATGTAAAGCATATGGAGGCGAGAGGACAGCAGCTGCCCTCTTTACTCTGACATCTTCCGATGGCATAGTTAAACCGAGCTCTTCGAGAAGTACTTTTTCGCATGCAGAATCTTTGGCTTTTTGCTTGTTATCTTGAGGTGGACCAATAATAGTCTCTAAAAAGTCATAAATTTGATACGTTAATGCTGCATGCACAATCCATCATTTCATGCGCATACTACTCAGTTATTTTAAGTCAAGCAAGCAAAAAAATGAAATTCTATATTATTACAAAGATGACCCATTTTACGGTTGATTTCAGATGAAATATAAATTCAATAAACTTATCAAAATTTTTAAGTTTTACTTTTCATATAATATCACATCAAAACCTTGGTGATACACATTCTCACTACTTAGAACTATCCATAAATTCACTGTAAGAAAGATTTCAGTATAACTATTACCTCAAATATATTCGAACATAAAAATGTTCAAGATATGAGTCGCCATTATAGTCTCCCACTTATTAACAGTATCAGTTAGGTAAGATAAATCAACGAAAACCGAATTAATGGCTAGCTGTTGTTACATCAGATTTACTTAATAATTTTTAATCTACGAAAAAGTCTTAAAACCGCTCTTAATACACAAAATAAAACATGTAATAACGACCTGTAATGACCGTAATGCATTTTTCTTTTTATTTCCCTTTACTTTTCTTCCTGATTTTTAAATTGGCCGAAAAGGAAAAGAAAGAGATAACATCAATTTTTTGGTGAGTACAAGTCGCCAGCACATGCTTACTATTATTGTCGAGCGTAATGCGGCAGATGAATCGACTATTTCCTTGGACGGGTTTTCCGTCAACGGTGTCCACATCCACTTGCATGGTACGATCGTAGAAATTGAGCGCTTGTATCAAAACCTCAAGGCAAATATTACCACCACACAACACTTTCAAAAAAAGCGAATGCTTAGCTCTGATTGATTAGTATTTATTTAGTTTTCTTTATTAATGGTGTAATACATGAAGGTAGAATCCTTCTCTTGCAAATGGAATTACATGGAGCAGTAGCAATGCAAACAAACTATCCATGACACCTATATTATTGCACTGTTTAATTCGAAGTACTCTCATACCCGTTAGATTTCAAGATGAAAAAGCTTTGATGTCTAGATATTTTTTCTTCATTTGACTCACATTTAGTCGAAAATTTATTTCATACATTTTTAATCTTCATCGCGCCTTTCTTCCTTAATCTTTTTTTCTATTCTATTAATTTCCTTTCTATTTCCTATTTGGTGTTATGTTTAAAATTTAACTTGTTGCGAAGGTATTCTTAAAAAAAGATTTAACTGTAATTTCACAGCTGCATCTGAAACAATTCGAACGTACACTGATGGTAACGAACCCCGCTTCCGCAATCCCGATGGATACTTTCAAATATAACTTGTAAGTCTCAGTAAATTTTCCCACATGTAAAGTAAAATTATCCATTCGCTTTTTTGTGCAGTTGTGAGATAATAATATAAAACTCTAAAGCACAAAAGAATGCTACAAAAAATTAAGAATGTTAGAAAATCGTACCTGCATTGGTTTGCCTGGTTTAAGATTCATTGTGCGGCGTTCCACCATTTTTAATTCTTCTTGTGATACATCAAAGATGTCAACCAACGCCTGTAAAAAATTGTCTGATAGATGAGCGAACATTAGAAAATATAAAAAAATGAATGATAAAAACAACAAAGAAACTAAAACAAATATACTTCACGGATGACAGCATTTTTGATTGGTGATTTTCCATAGCCTTCGTGAGAATAAACCTTTCCCTGATGGGGCAAAACCAACACACATCTAAAAACTTGTCAAAATTAATCCAAAAATTCTCAGATAAATCCACTAAAATAATTAATCTAAATTTGCATTGTAGAAATCTCTCTTTTGGTCTGAAAGGATTGTAAACTGTGCGTATCATTCGGTTAAGGTAGTTAACATCATCAGAAATAATATATGAGAAAACAACTATCACCAGCAGTACTCGACTCTGTCCACGATATTTTTTCACAACTGTCTTCGTATAAGAACAAGTCCTTTGTCAGCCAGTAAAACTTTTATCCTAACCTATTTGTCTGTGCAAACTCATCGATAAAAAACTTCCACAATATCGGATAATAGCAATGTCGCAAATTATGGAGATAATTTATGCCAAAGATGAGCAATATCTTTCAGTAAAAAGTAAAATTTTTTTATTATTTCACCCACTGATTTAATATGGCCAAATAATCTCAGTGAGTAACGGTTTTGCTAGCAATATGGAATAAACTTAAGGAATATTAATGTAATTTGAAGTATTTGATCTCATCTGCTATCTCCATACAACAGTGAAAATAACTTCGATCAATGCGATCGATAGCGTCGACAGATGTATAGCAGTATGAACAAGTGAACAAAATAAAACAAGAAAATTGACTATACTAACCTGAATTTTTTCGGAGATTTGCCATCGGTATCTGCCGTTGAAAGTTCACTAAAAGTGAACTGTGGTGTGAATTTCTCATCGCTGGTACGCTCCTTTTCCTAAAACATAACCTCCATCAAATTTTATTAAAGTGAAGTAATAATTCTAAAACTAAATTACATACCCTACACAGACGAAGAAAGAAGTCATGGAGAGAATTGCAGGTAGCATATCCTTTTCTTCGGCTTTCCTGAAAAGCGGATAACACAATTTAATAATTACTCATACTTAAAAATGTCTAACCAAAAGTCTTTAAAAAAAGCAATTTTCTACAAATTGTACCATAATATACAATCCGCAAAAAAACCATGGGTGAAACTAGTCAGTTATTAGAGTATTCGGAGCAACAATTTGCCGATTTTTATATTTTTTGCAACAATGCCGTGTAACAAATCCATTTGTGATAATTTTTAAATCAATTCTAAACAAGATAAAAATGAAGAACGGCTTCCACTTAATCATGCGTACAAAAGTTGAATCAAATATTGTTTTCTACAAATTCCATTAATCTCCATTAACCTCAATGAAAAGAAAACACAGTCATAAATTTGCGCCATTTTCTGCACACAAATTATCAGGAACTTTTTCAAAAATCCAGACATGGGCAGCTAAATGTATAACCAAAAACAGTCGTTTCTACTGTCTGATGAAATGATTATTTATGCTAGTATTTTTGCGTTATCGCAAAAATACTAGCATAAATCCGTTAGGTGAAACGTTCAATCCATATATTGTTGCTCCATTTTTAAACAGCTTAATTATTTCTTCTCTATAAATTATTCTCATAAATTGAAGATGAAAAAGTTTCTGGTAAAATGAATCATCGTAGTGTATAAGCAAATACTATCCCAAATATAAACGGTTTTATTTTGCACACTTTTTTTTTCTTTAAGATTTCAGTATACATAGTCTGCGCATTAAGCAATGCACATTATATTCTCAAAAAAAAGAAGTCTGAAAAAATGAAAACCATAATCCTTTATATTCGTGATAAAACTTAAAGATTTTATTCACTGCATATAGCGTCAATACGAAAGATATGAGCCGATAATTGCTCTCTATTCATAAAGACTGATTTACATTGTACCTCTATTCCGTTCGTTTGTGATGAACAGAAAGCATAATTTCCAAATTTTTTTGATTCCGAAATCGAAACGTCTAGCAATATATCAGGTCGCAATTCTTTCAAAGCTAATTCACACGCAAGCTGCAAACAATAAGAATTCATTGACCATGGGAAAGTCTTGAAGTGAAAAACATGGCCAAGTTTAAATAAGCTTGTAACAATAACTTATGTCACTAGGAAGTAAATGTAAAACTAAAGAAAGATAAAAATTAAACATGAAAATGAAAAATGGAAACACAATACTTGTTTTGCAGCTTTTTTATTCGAGCCTTCCGCACAAAATGTTTTAGCCTGCACTGTAAAAGAACATTCGAAACGTGGTAACTTGTTAACCATCATCTAAATTACTCAAAATTGGAACATAATTAATTCAGCACATCATGTAAGTAAAAATATTAGCATATTTTCAAAATCCATAAAAAAACTACAATGATTCAAATCATTATCATATATGCTGCCTCGATCTTTCCTGATCTATTATTAATTTTCTAAAATTCAGTCAGACAAACTTTGATTACGCCAAATCTCTTTCCAGCGCCAGCATTCTTTCGCCCTTTCTATGTATGATTTCAGAACTGTAAATTTGCATCATAGAAATCCTTTTTCCAAAAACAGTCTAAAGATGATAAAAGATCTTCATGGACATTCCGATCTCATGAAGAAATTCATGATCCGAACCGTTAGTTAGCTTAGTCATCACAAGATTTGCAGAAACTAAGAATGATAAAGAAATACATACTGTCTTATAAGAACATTGATCCTTGAATTCCGGATACAATTCATTTAGAATCATTGCGGCTGTCTTACCAGTCGTAGAGTAATTTCTAGGTTTTTTATTTGGTGGTGGATAAGCTGCATTCATTCCGTAAGAGAAACGATTCTATAAATTTGATGATATACAGTTTCATCGTAAAAATTGCTATACAATAAGAGAAAAAAAATTTGATCTTGAACAAAACATTTTCTACATAAAAAGAAAGCCGAATAAAACCAAAACATTTTAAGAAAGATATTTATTCTGACCAAATCCTTAAAGTTTTCAATTTCTTTTCAACAGAAGTAATTTTAATTATAAAGAAGTATCATTATTGTTACTTACCTTTTTTGGAAAAGTACCAGCAATATGTCTACGTTTTGCACCAGATGAAACTGCTGACTGTGGTAGTTGTTTTGCAAAGAAACTAGTACAACCATAATAACCTGTACCACTAGGATCAGTCCCAGGATACTGTTGCTGTTGCTGAGGATAATGACCCTGGTAATCTTGATATCCTACACCACCACCACCACCACCGCTTATCTTATTTGCTTTATTTTTAGGAACACTATTCAGAGACATTGGATAATAAAATCGCTGTTGTTGCTGTTGCGATGCTATTGTTGATGAAATATCCGATGTAGCACTACTGACTCTTATCCAATTTTGACAACCACTACTGCCGTAATAATTATGACTATCCATTTCTTTTTTGCCACAAATTTAAAAATGAAATTGTAGCAATAATCTGAAAAATTCCTTTTATTAATTAATTTATATACTGAACAGGAAAATAGCGAAAACGAAATAATACACTACCCATCACAATATATAACATTTTTCTAAAGAAAAAAAAACATCAATGTATTTCACCGGAATTATTTAGACAAATAAGTTATCCAATTTGGCACCTCCTGCGTATAATTCAATCCGGCATTTCTCGCATACATTATATTCAATTTGTATATGCACCTTTTATCTCTGTAGTAGGTAGCAGAAATCAGTCCATTGTATTACTTGTCAAATTCATTTGCACTCAAATGTGAACTGTTCAATTTCACTCACCGCAATGTTTAAGTAGTCAGTTCCACGCGATGATCAATTATAAACTTCTCAAATAATCGAAGATTTCTGAATTACTTAAAATATGCACCTAGTCAAAAATATCACCTATAGTCAGAATCTTGCGAAAAAATTACCATCAATGGAGAAATCGAGGCATAATTTCTGAGAAATTCCCTCTGTTCCAATAAATTACTATAGCACTTTCCAACCTTTCCAATTTTTCAGGAACCTTCCTTAGACGACCACCTTAGCCTGGAAAATCATTCACAGCCATTTTGATTTGATTATCGATTGGGAACGTCTGTCAGCAAATAGGCCACTATGCAAACCGGTGATCTCTTCCGGTTTGAAGTTACAATTCGTTCGCTACGTCCTGTTTCGAAGCAAGTCATGAAAAGTCTTCCGTTTAATTTGGTTGTACAAAGACGCATACTAATTATGCGAATAATTTCTCAACTACACTAGTCATTTGTTAGATTTTAATCTTATTAAATTTAATTTCAAATTTCAAAGTCAAATCATCATTTAAACAGATCGATTACGCAAACTTTTCAACTAATTAATTGGAAGATTTCGGAATTACTTAAAATATGTACATAGTTGAAAACTTTAAAATATCTCCTATAGTTAGAATCTTGCGAGAAAATTACCATCAATGGAACAATCGAGGCACAATTTTTTACAATCAAAATAATTCAATTTTTTTTCTTCGTTGAAAATTAACTTATAGCTGAAAAAGCGTAATATCCTTCCAAGAACTGCTTGCTTGCATTATAGTATGCATGCTTTTGCAAAAAATTGCAAGACATTACAGTATGCTTGCTCTTGCAATTTTTTGCAAAAGTGGGCATGCTATAATGCAAGCAAGCAATTCTGCAATTTTTTTTAAGTAATTAAGTCATTACAGCAACTGAGAATTTAAGTGTTTAGGTATTTAAGTAATCGAACAAACCAAGCAATACATTATTCAAGTAATCAGGTACCCAATTAACTAAGTAATGGCAAGTAAGTTAAAAAGACCCACCATATGACTGCAAATGAATCCTTCTCTTTTACTAACTCTACCACTCTCTAATCTTCAAAATGAAATACTGTTTTTTACCATTACTTCTCTGTCCCTCACACTATTGAGATTTGAATCATCTTCGATTCTCTCCAAATCTTCGATCTCTCTCATACACCATCGCAGTCTCCATCTCAGAAGTGATTTTGTTCTCTCCATGCAACATTTTCACCCAAAGGGGATTGTTTGTCCTTATTGTTGTGATTCTTTCAAGTCATCCGAGGAGAACCGTTTTCCGGATGCTTGGTTCATCTGTTTAAGTTCTTTACATATATCGGATATGCATGCATTCGGGTTCACTGAACAGGAAATTATCAGAGATTATTTTGAATCGAAAGATTTCCGTCGCAATTATTTGAAAAACTAAGAGCTTCCAGAAATAAAATTCACATTTTGTCAGTTTTTCTTGTTGCAATTGAATTACTGATAAATAAACTCTTGTTACTAATGTCTTTTACTGCAATATAATTAATTTCGTTTCAGATCACTGTTATGTTCCGCAGAACGAATGATATTTTCCGAAAAACCGTACAGGTTGGTTTATATGTCATTTTTGTTCTGTCTTCTCCAATTCTCATGCATTTTGATTCATTAAATGTTCCTATTTTTCAATTTTATAAATTAGGACCATATAATTTGTTTTTTTAGGAAGGTTAGAAATTTCAAGTTACAACAGCTTGTGCCATTTATTATGCACATCAATATATTATGCATGCCATATATTTGTTACTTTTCTCGGATTGAATAGTGTCCTTGAAGAGTTAGGTGGAGTTTGAAGTGTGCCCCAGCCTTTTAATATAAAGTGTTATTACAAAGTTTGGAATACTGGGAACTGCTCACGTAATCATTTGCTCTAAAAAATTATCTTATTTCCTGTTTTTTTTTTCAGAATTTCAGTTCCCAAAAGCATGCTTGCTTTGGAGGGACAGTATTTGCTGCAGCAGCTGTAGCCCTCAGTGATGATGAACTTAAAAAGCAACCTTCATGGTATGTTTCAATTTCTTCCAGGAATGATGTTTGATGCTTAATAGTTGATTTCTGTAGAGGAGTTCTTATAATTCAATTTAGCACTGAATTTCTTTCCCTTCATGTCTGATGATGATTCTGTTATGTTTTTTAGCAAGAGATTTCGAAATCTTGTACTTCCATATCTACCTCAGCTGTTTTGCTCATCTTGGATTGAAATTGCTTGTGTACAGATTTTGAGTTTACATAATGACAACATATATATCAGTTGACCCCTTAAGTAAGGAGTGAGCGGAGTACATTTATATGAGTTACTTTTCTCTATGAGTATATGTATCAGTTATTGGGCATGCCATTGGGTCAATACTTTCTCATATTCGGATATTTTGGTGCAGTGCACCGATATTTTCTTTGCTGTTTGTTATATCAGTATGTTATATGCAGGTATCAAACAGCTGTGCGTAAACTCTCATTTGCAATAAAATATACGAATCGGAAAGGCTATTTAGACGATGTAATATTGCTAGAGAATATTCGTGAAAAACTTTCGCCGTAAGTTGTATTTTCATATTTTTGTTCGTTTTATTATATCACCATATTTTAGGTGGATCATCGATTTATCAAATTTTTAGAAGAGTTAATCACAATAATGAAATCCATCTTATTTTTTTATTTTTTTGGAATGAAAATCACTCTTTTCCCCATGGTATGGGACATGGCAGTTTTAAGAAAACTTTGCACTATATCGGTCTCATGTCCTTTATATCAGTATCATGTCCTAGGATAACGATTTCTTTCGTAAAATTTTTCGTGAACTCTTTCCATATCCTACATTTCTTAATTATATGCTTAGTTTAAATTTGGATGATTGTGATACGTATTAATCTTTGTACTTGAGATATTCGGACTCAACGAATACCGATATACTGTGGCGGTATGCTCGAGTATTACTTGAAATTGCTATATGGACTTCAAGTGCAGACAAGAATCGAATGGCAATATTCCTCGAGGTTTTTTTCTATCGGAATTTTTTTCTTCAGTTTTTATTTCTAAATGATTTTTTGGACCGTATGAATACTGCATGATTAGATAATGTGAATAAAAATGTCAAATTAATCAGTGAGAGAAATCGATCATAATAATTTTTAGGCTGAGAAAATTGGTAAAAAGGCGATTGACAATGAAAGTCCACAGAGTCCAAATGCTAATGCACATAAGTGGTAAGTGGGAATAATGAACGAATTTGAAGATATTTTTATGTTCATTTGGTTTGGCTCTTCAGCCTACCCGATTAAGATAAATCATTGGATTTTCATCATTCTCAGTGATGAAATAATTATTAAGATGCACGTCTAAGCACGTCTTCCTTATTTCAAAAGTCCGTCTTTTTCTCATAACTTTATTATTTATTTGGTTCTTTTTAAGGATGATCAAGAATAAAGTATAAAAGATAACTCAAGTTGGCTTCTCAGTCATTTTCAGGTACGGAATAACTTTGGTAAAACTAATGGATTTCCGTTCGGATAAAAAAATTGATGAAGCACGAAAACATTTGGAAAAAGCGGTTGAATTAGACCCGAAAGATGTAAGATCATGGCAGTATCTTGGTTTGTTTTCTTTTTATTTCATATTTGGCAAATGTGTCATCAAACTTCGTGAAGCTTAGTCGACGCGATGGTAGTTTAGAATTTGGTGATTAAAAGCAAAGATAAGCGAACCTTAGCAGGTTAAATGATTGATGTAGGTTAGCATGTAGCTTACTCCAGAGATTACTGGATTCTCTGGCAGAAAATTCAGAATGAACTGATTAAATTTGAACTAATGATAGATCACAAAAGCTTCTCTAAACTTTTATCTACTTTAATGATCTCATTTTTGGATTGACTACAAACTACGTAAATATACTGAACATTAATTTGATAAATTTAGCAATATGAAGGGTGTGCGATAATTGATATATTTATCAATCGTATACATCAAACATTACCACTTCTTGTATCGTTGTAAACTATAGGAATTTTTCCTTGTTATTCATCCTTGTTTTACTAACCTACCAATCTACATACTACCTCTAATTATATTAATTGTTTATCGCAGTATTCAATGATGGTTAACTATGCCATAGGAGTAGGAGGTTGAGATTTTTACAGATTTTTTACTAATAACCAGCAAACTAAAGCAAGATTTAACGCAAGAAGTGGTCAATACCGTTATTTGTGGACGTTTTGGTCTTTAATTGAAATCTTTTTCAAAAAAACGGCGCATGTAGAAAATCTTGCATGCATCATCTGCGCTAAATAAACAACTGATGGGCATTTCAGGTGTTGTACAATATATGCAGAAAGATTACAAGCTTGCATTGGAAAGCCATCAGAAAGCGGAATCAATAGAAGTATGTGTACTTTTCCAGAAATATAGCTGATTAACCTTAGTTGCTTAAAATTTTATTTTCATTTTCACAAATTTACCACTGAGTACGAGCGTTATTAACTGTAGATTTACCGAAGTTATGAATTAGCTATTTACTGAGAATATTGTTGGTTATTTAAGAAGGAGAGAGAGCAAAATTCTTTTGTGTCATTTTTCTTGGTTTCAAAGAAAAAAGGCGCTGAAGTACCCTGCAACGTACACCACGGTCCACTGAATATGACATGAGACTTAATATTTTTTGTGATTTTGTACGAGGCAAAAATGTATTCCTTATTCTTGCTTTTTTAAATCTATCTGCAGTAGCATAAAATATATATTGTAGCATAAAATAGTTATGCGGATCTTATTAATTAAATTCCAGACATAGGCGTTGTTTTTAGCCTGGTTTCTCAAACGAAAACGTATTATGGCTTGGGAAAACAGAACTTGCATTAGGACGGAAAAATGATGCATGCGAAAGTTTCAAGAAAGCAAAAATTCTGACTCCCCGCTACAGGAATGAATTTAAGGTTTTTCTTTGATATTATTATTCACGAAGTTAAGAAAGTATTAATTTAGCATTAGCTTGGATTATAAATGGAAGAAGTGAAGACGGAGGTGAATCTCCTTTAAACATATTTTCCGAGATCATTCAGTTTATGAAAATATGAGACTAAACTTTATATAATTCTTCAAAATGAGAAATGTCGCAAACAGTTGTAGGGGATGAGTTAGCTAATAAAATAGCAAAGCAAAGTAAAGAAGGATGTAGTAAATTTTTTCAAAACCTTTAAAACTTTATGGAAAATAGAGAAAAATATTTTCCTTTTTTCTGCAACTTTTATAATAGTGTTAGATGGTTAATTTATTATTAGATTTTTAGGCTGGAATGCAAGCTCGCGAATTCTTGTTGAAAAAATGCGGAGTACGTACGGAGGATGTTCCAGATTCGGCTTGTCCATATTGATCTTCATTTCTAGACATTCTTTTGTTTTTTATAGTCGTATTGGAATTGTGGAAGATTTTAAATTTCATAGGCATAAGTGTTTTTGCTTCCCGTTGTGAATAGCAATTATCGATAAAAATTAATGATTAAGCGAAATTATTCTTCGATTCTGAGTGTATATGTTAACAGTATAAAATTTTATTTCTTATTTTTGCTATACTTTTTTAATTTATGGCAATTTTTAACCAAGAAATTCAAACTTCTTTTTTTAACTTCAGATTTGAATAATTTGAATTTTCAATATTATAGACTAGGTTACAATTTGTACAATTCTTACTTTTTAGCTTCGGCTTTAATTAACAATTACCAAGTGTTATAAGTTGTAGCTAATGTTTAGTGTCGAGCTTTTCAGAATCATTTCGTATTCAGATGGTGACAAGATTATGGAAATACCCATTAATTAAGGCATGTGTTGCTGGTTCAACAGGATATTTGGCAGTTGGTTTGGTAGATTCAGTTGATTCGAGCCCTGTTCTAGATGACGATGAGAAATGGTATTCTTTCTTGGTTATATTTCTTAGATTTTATATTGCTACTGTTATTATCTCTTTATTTTTTTTAAAATTTTGTCATGCTTAGGAGAAAATATCGGTCTGATTTCTATGAATTTTATTTCAAATTTGCGGATATTATTGGTAAGCGTCGCTACATCGAAGAGCAATATCGGCAGAACATTCCCAGTGGATCTTATTTGAGGTGGAAATTTAGCAATCAAAATTTATTTTAAAATGTCCACTCATATTATTTCAACTATTATTGATTACGAATAGAATGAAAAACTTTATCTAGTATATTACAAAGCCATATTCAAACGACGGGTCTCACACTGGTGAGTTTTGTTTATCAAACTCTTTTTTCTTGAATTATGATATTTTATATTAGATTGTACTTTTGTTCGTTCATTTTCAGATGTGCTGTTGATTCGTTAGAAAAGGCTCATCAAATTATCAGGTTTGACAGCGATGATAGGTTACGAAGAAAAATTTTGCGCAAGGTATTTCTTCTTTTGTTGTGCATTCAAGTTTTTGAGAACCTTATTCTGAATTTAAAGTGCTGAAACTAAGCAACTGAAATCTAACACTCTATAACACTCTGAATTTATTCATATTTTTTCGAAATATCACACTATTTGGTTGAAGTAATACAAATTGGTTCAGTAGTAAGTAGAATACTAACATTTCACATGTTAACTTCAAGTAAATTGCAGAAGTTTTACTAACATCAGAAGTAATTTTATATTACTTGTTACGATTTTTATGCATTTGTAAAAATTTATGATAATTGATATTTTCATACTCGAAAAAAAAATTTTAATTTTGTAAATGAAGGCTCATCGCTACGCAATCAAAGCAGCTGCTGTTGAAGAAGATGAGGATTTGAGGGCTGAAACCCATAAATGGTAATATTTTTTTTGTTGTCGATATATGTACCATATAAGGTAACTGGTAAAAATCTCATCATAAATTCTACTAATTTTCAAACTTCCACATCTTGAATTTATAAATTTTCTGAAATCTCAGGTATGGTCTTATCATGTTGAAAAGATCGAAATATGGAAACAGAGAAAAACGATTACTAAAGGCAATCAATGAACTTGAAAAAGCACTAGTTACTGATAGCATTGATCCGCAAATTTGGTATTATTTAGGTAAAAATCGGGGTTATTTAACTTCTTTTTGCATTTATCTTGTAGTTTTTAACATGGAAAACTAGTGAAAATCCTTTTTGAAGTCAAAAATTGGCAATAACTCTCATGAATAATTTATTAAACTTAATCATAATTTATAATTTAGTGTTCATCATTGAGCACTCCAGAGCATTGAACATTTATTTCATTGTAAAGATATTAAGTTGAGCAAATTTTTAGTGGATGAACTGCTTTTGAAAACTGGAAACACAGCTAATAAAATGTTAAATCTGATTTACAGCAGGAATTTTTTAATTAAGAAGTTTTGAATATTTATTTCGTACGAATTTTATTTGATTGAATTTTTTACTTTAGTTTTTATTAAAAAATCTGTCAAGGTCAAGCTCAGTACCTTTTGAATATCATGTTACTTGAATCATACTGAATTTCGATCTGTGATTAAAATTTGCAATATATTATTTTTAGATGCATGTTTTAGGTGTTGCAAAATATGAGCTTGGTGAATACCAGCAGGCTATCGATTGTCATCTGCGGGCAAACAAACTGAAAGTTAGTTGATTTCTTGTATATTTGCTAACATGTTTCTTCAATATTTTCACAGAGAAGTTTTGAATCGCGAATGTAAAATGCAGATTTTCATAAGAGTTAACATAGATCTTTGGAAATCCATATTTTTAATATTTTTTTTCAAAATTAAGAAAGTTTTATATCAAGTTTAAGAAGTAATTCCGTCGAGAACAGCGGATATTACATATTTTGGACTTGGATGTGTTGTAGCAAAGTAATATTTTGAACTCCGATTATATCGTCCTTCATAATGTGAATGCACTACGTTCGTCAAACTATAATATTTACTGGTTTGGACGGAATTACTTTCTACAATTGATATGAAATCTTTCATGATTTAAAAAGAGAGTAATTTACAGCAGAGTGAGTGTCCTCAAAACCAATATCATCTTGGTTTAGCCCAAAAGCAATTAAATACTCCAAAATCTCGATTGGATGCATGTAATGCTTTCAAGCAAGTTTTAACAAAACATTGTGATTCGATCGCTGATACTGTGGTAAACCTCAGTCTTTTAGTCTATTTGTTTCATTTCTTAATCCAGTATTTCTTTGCAAATTTTTTAAAAATTACTCATTGCAATTTTTTATTTTTTAAATTTTGTTATTACTTATTCCCATGTTATTTAGAAAAAATTTTTAAATCTATAAAAAATCAAAATTCATATGAGCAGCTGGTTAAATAGTTCTTGGATTGATCAATTGCACCATACATATATATATAAATTCCAGATACGGCACGCAGCAGTTAAAGAGTTCCGTGAATGTGAGGAATATTTATGATACTGTTTTTTCTTGAAAATTCTGGTTTTTTTTTAAAGCAAAAGTGAAGTAAATTTGATTCATAGAATCGTTTTTCGTTACTTTTTTTTCCATTTTTCTGGACTTATATTGTACAGCATTTGATTAAGTGCATTGGAGCATTTCATTATCGTCATGGTTCATTGAAATGTAAGCGAAATAAAATGCTTAAGAAAACTTTTTCAGTAAATCATTTTGCTGCTACCAAACTGTTTGCATTGGATATTCAAGATTGCAAGTTTAAAATAAAGGCTGACACTTCAACTTTAAAAATTCAATAACTCCAAAAAACTTATATAGACACATTCGTCAAAAAAAGAAAGATGGCATCGAAAGATCAACTAGATATACGCAGCAGAATTGGCAGATCCTGAAAATTTTGATACTAGATTGCTCAGAATTTCTTATTCAATAGTCAGTAACAAACTACCAAGTAATATCTCAAATACTGTAAATATATTAAAAGGCTGATTAAGTTTGTTAAGAGCGTACAAATATAAAAATATGTAAATTTAGTTACAAAACCAAATATTTTATCATTTCCTGAAGTTGAGTGACAAAAATTTCTTTTTTTGTGGTCATTTATTTTATTCGATAAATTTTATTTCTAGCATGTTTAAATGCTATATCAATTGGTGTGAAATGTGAAATCAATCATTGTTTAATGAAGTAACCATATTGTATGGGCTAGTAATTTCTAATAATATGTAATGGTTGCTATTACTGCTCTCAAATATTTTGCATTGCTAATTGTTGTTATACCATTCTGTAATAGTCTTATTGATATACGTCATCGTTTTGAACTTCCTCAAATACCGGCTGATTTAAAGGAAGAAATTTTGTTTGAATGTAAATCAACATTTATCAAATTTCTCCAAGCAAATAAACGTAAGGTTAGACTTTTGCAATCGGTAATAATCAAAAAAAAATTAAAATTTTTTTGTTCTATATACCATTCAATAGTAACAGACTTATAATATATAAATTGTCGTAGAAATGAGAAATTTTGTAGATTGAAATTAATTAAATTTCTAGAAAGAAAGACTCAGTGAAAACTGAGTCTTTTTTTGCTTGTTAATTGCACCTGATGAATATATTTTATGGTGACATTAATAGATGAAGAACTTCATTTCAGTTATCTATCGTTTCTCATAACTTTACCGGGAATAAAAGTAAATACATGTTAATTTCATGTTATATTTTAGATACAGAGATATCACATGATGTTATCTTGTCACTACAATTTATTCAATAGAAAATTATTTTAAAAAAAAATAATGAAATTATTTACATTACCATAATTTAATGAGATAATTTATACAGACAACAACAACAACAACAACGACAACAGTAATACCAACAAATGAAACGGTAGAAAATGGAACAGGGACGGTATCACCACTACCATATACGGAAGAAATATCACCAACGGATAGTCAGCAATGTCCGATGGTAATAAATAATTGTATTTTAACAAAAACAAGCCCGTTTATGGAATATTGTGAAGTGAAGTGTTTAACAATTTCCAAAACATTAACAAGTGATTTACAATGTTGGAATGATAACTGCTTCGTTCGTGCCACACGTATTTGTGAAGAAAAGTTTTGGCGTACGGTAAAAGCAAAAAATAGGAAAAAGAAGAAGAAGCGAATGCGTTGTATACCGGAAATTAAGCATTGTTATAAATTGGCATGTTTAAAATGTCTTGGACGAGAATGTAATATGAATTGTTACGGTGGTGGTATACAGTATACACATCTTACAAAGCCACACTGGAAAGGTTATGAAGAGTATAGAAAATTTTTCCCTGAAATGGCAGAAGATATTCTTCACAAATTGGTTCTTGTTCCCGAAAAAACGATTACCATTGAAGATGATGAACAAAAGTAGCAATAACTTATATAGAGAAAACGACAATCAAATACTGAATGATCATTTTGAAAATTATTTCATTTTGATGTTACTATCAATTTGCTAGCAAAATAATATTATTACTGATGTAATGCAACAATAAAATATGAACATTGTGTCACTGGCTAACAGAGAGAATTTGATATTTTAAATCGACATTTTTCTTTAAATTCCATTAATTTCACTTGCCAACTGTTCAATGCTAGCTAACATGACAAATATTTCTTTTATGCCAAAAACTTTAAAAATTCATATTTTATCAAATTCGCAAGGCAGAAAGAAAAGAAAGGGAGAGAAGTATTACTGAAAAATTTTCTTTGTATATTTTAAAATTTATGTACAATATTATACATACATGTATATGTTTACATAAGAGTTTTCACTTATATAAATATATACATAAATGATAATTTTAAAAGATAATATACACAAAAAAAGTTTTCAGTAGTTTCAATGAAAGAACAGTAAAGCAAAATTAGTTTAAACAAAATTTATCAGACATACATATCACTGTTTATTTTTTTAATCAAAAAATATGCAAAATATGCATTCAAATTATAAGGCAAGAATGTATAGAAGAAACAAAAATTAATTTAAACAAAATTTACTATGCATTTCGTCATTCGCATAATATAGCTCCGTTCATCAGCAAAAATTTCCAATTGATAAGTGAATGACTCATCATAGATTATGATGATGAATCATTGGTTCTCATAGCGCTATTCAGTAAACATGACAAACTCTCAATCTTTGCTAATTGATCGGCTAAATAGTTTGCCATTTCTTGTGCCACCAATATATCATCACGAAGTATCTGCAGCAAACAGTTTTTAATTTTTTGCAATAATATGAAAATATCAAAGACATTAAAGGTAAAATGTGGTATGAATCAAAATTTGATAGGATCAAAATGCATAAGAAATGAAAATATTTCAAGTAGTGAACTGGGAGAGGAATGAATTTAGCAACAAAAAATTTCTCCAAATTTTTTTAAATTTTATTAAATGTAACAATAAAGAGAGAAAAAAGAAGTGCCACCATATTGATATGAATAATATCATTGGTCTGATAATTTTTTTTATCATTCCATTCACTTAAAACTTTACCTGATCAAGCTCATTTCTTGATTCCACTGTCTCAATATTATCATTTGTATTGTTGCCCAAAAGATGATTGATCTCATTGGAACTTGAAAAATGATTTAATAACAATGATGATGCTACAACGTTATGTTCCGGAATATCGGATTCTGTTTGCTGATTATGCAAAAATTGTGTTAATGTAGCCGTTGGGTCAAATGTTAAATGTGCCACTGATAATGAATTATCATTTAGACCAGAAATATGACGTGAATCCACATATATAGTTTCTGTTGTATGCGGAATAGTTCTAACTGTTGAGTCTGGAAATTTTTTTTGATTCACAATTTTAATTTATTATTGATTTAAAACTTATATGATTGATTGTTTGCATTGTATTACTAAGTATGAATGGCTTTAAGACGATTATTTAATATTCTGTAAGAATTAATAATGAATATATCAATTGTTCTACAACGAAACATTAATTATTCATATTCCACATATAACTACTATTCTTCAAAAAAATTTCAAGTAAATCATTAATAAACATTTTAAAATTATTTAAGCAAAAGTTCTTGCATTCATGAAAGAAAAGAGAAATGAAAAATAAATTCGGAATTCTGCAAATATAAAAATGGATTTTTAAAATTTGAAATATTATGTTAATGTGTCTTCTCTTTTTTGTTCTAAAAAAATTATTATTATGTAACGATCATTATTTACTGCTATTTGCTGCTATTATTGCCATTGTTATTGTTTATTGTTATTGTTATTATTACTATTGCAATTATTATTATCGCTATTATTATTATTGCCACCATTATTATTACCATTATTACTATTACTTTCATTATTGTTGTCATTGTTACTACTAATTATTACTAAGTCATTATTACTAATTATTGCAAGTGGTTGTTGCATTAATATCTGCTGTAAAAATTCATATCAGCGAACAAATTGGAACCATTATCAGCCATTGTTTCATGCGATTCATTTGAATTTGTCAGCCTGGTCGTCGCTCCTGACACTGTCTGAAATAAAAATTGATGTAAAAAATTAAATTTGAAAAATATATCTAAACTGTTTAAAATCAACAATAATTAAATTTTACATAACATATGTCAAATGAAATAATTTAAATTAAAATCATGCATCATAATAACTGTGAAATATCAGAAATACTAATTTTACAAATAAATGAAAATAAATAATATCTAATGAAATAATTTGCATTAAACAATATTCACTACCTATATGCTAATTTATGCAGAAAAATGAAAATTTTCACGGTTTACATAACTTACACTTATCGATGAAATGTTAGTTTCTGCTTCTGAAATGGAAGTATCATTTCTTTCGTTATTGACGGGTTCCTCATCATAACGACTATCTGTATTAGGAAAAATTAAAAATTTATATGAAACTTTATAAATTAAATCATACAAATTATAACTTCCTTAGAGAATAAAAACCTGCTAAAGAAAACCTTCTGGAAACGTCTCCCGTAATTCATTGATACTGGCAATGACAGATGGTGTAGTAACTGTATCATTTAGTATGGCTGCAGAACTTCTACTTCGATTTGATGATACAGCAGCTTCTGATGGTAGTACTTGAATTTGATTTTTTGGCGAAAGTGAAAATTGTGTGGATGATTGGTGATGCAATGATGACGACTGTCGGTCTGATTGTAGAAGTGATTGTGGAGTTAATTGTGTGGAGGATAGTTGACCTAACGGTGATGATGCTTGACATGATTGTAGGAATGAACTTGGACGTAATTGTCGAAACGGTTGCACTGATGATGCTTGATCTGATGATCTGCTGTACGGGCACTGTTGAATGACTCGCATAAAATGTTCAGGAGATAAATTAAAAAGCGATACGTCCGGTATTTCAAGCGATTTTTGCACCGTTTCTGATGATTGCTGAGACGGTTGCAATTGTGGTTCTGATACCTGTAAAATCCCCAAAGGTATTCCCATTGATTCCCAATTAATAAGCTGTGATCGTAGAAGTTCTTGAACTGTTTGTTGCTGATTTAACTGCTGTTGAGTTTTTTGTCTAACTTGAGCGAGTAACGCAGTACTTTCTAGATCTTCTGAATTTGTTCCCCTCACTTCTGACATCGATTGCTGAGACATTTGGCGGAACATTTGTTGAATGCTTTGCGAAGCTGATTCTTGCAATGAGGTAGGAGGTTGATTAGATTGCGTCTGCTGCAAAACTTGCGCTGCCTCCCGAGGTATCCCTAACAAAAATGAAGGCATTGCCTGATTTGACTGCTGGAATACCTGAGCTGGTTGCTGTACCGAAGGTAGCAGAAGTGATTGCGCTAATGCTTGCTGGGTTGATTGTACTTGTTGTAAAGGATAATGTACTGGCATCCTCTGTTGTACCGGTTGTTGAGGTACCTGTATGAGTGGATGATGATTCTGTTGTGGACGTGGTTGTTGTGGTGTAGTTGAAGATTGTTGAAGAATTTGAACGAGTAATGGTTGTGTTTGTTGAAGCGGTTGTTGCAGTGATAATATCGGCACTTGCTGTGATAACTGTAGAAGTGACTGTTGAATCCCCTGAATATGTTGCTGCTGGTATTGAGACCCGTTTAAATGTTGCTGTGATTGCAAGCACTGATTCGTCTGCTGAGATAATTCGGCCAGTGAATGATTGTTGCCTTGAGGATTCTGTTGTTGAACATTTTGCGCCGACTGTTGAGATGGTTGTCGAAATAATGATTCAGCTCTTTGCATATGTGATTGCTGAGATGCTATCGAAGATTCCAGAGGTGGTATATTGGAATTTCCTTGTAACTGAGGGACCTGTAAAAACATTTGGGTATTTATATTTCCCGGATTTACCACAGATAATTGTTGTGGTTGTTGTAGTGATACCTGTAGCAAAAGCTGTTCTGCACGTGACTGCTGAGAAATTCCAGAAGATTGTTGATTGCTTTGTACGGGTAGTTGTATGATATATTGATTTCCATCAGAATACCTTTGTCGAGATGATTGTATCCGTTGCTGAAATTGTTGAATAATCGCCTGTAATTGTGACTGCTGAATGGATGATGATGAAGATGATGAAGATGGTACAAGCAATTCGTGGACTCCCTCTGTAAGCACATTTTCAATTACTTGCCGGGCTGCATCTGAAATCGAGAATCCAGATGATATTAGTTCCGGTGATGACGACGATGCATTCTGTCCAGAGAGTCTTAACTGATGCAATAGTTGATGGAATGTTTGTTCTCGTTGCTGAGTTCTATGGGATTTTTCTCGAGTTGGTGTTGATGATTGTTCAGGCATTTGTTCACAATCAAGCTATCCGTATTGCTAATCCTGCAGTAGTCGTACCGCTTATTGCAAAATTGTTTCAATCGTATTTTGTTGTAATTACTCAATTGTAACTAAAGTTGTTATTGTTGTCACTATTGTGACACGGGGATTTCTTTCTTAAACTTTGTAAAAAAATCTTTTCGTCACTTTACAATTTTCTGGTAGTTCTGGTTCTTCGATAGTTTTTAGACAGTTATGGACCAGATATCGCTAATTAATTGATAGCATCAAAAAGGATTAAATTTAAATTAGAATAATAGTATTGCTGTAAGATGGGCAAAATACGTGAAAACACTAGCAAGTAGAAATTAATAAGTTCCGATCTTGTACCTGCAATTAGTAAAAAGTATCATTAAAGAAAAGTATTTTTCAACATTGGATTTCAGTGCAAATTTCATTTTATTGCGAAATTAAAAATGCCGCTGTGATTTAAAATCTATATTTTACACTTTTGCGCTTTTGTTATATGTGTTTATATATACAAAAAACATTACACATTAATGCTTTTTTACAAGAAATATACCGTTTACAATATAATAATAGAAATGAATAAGACGAAGTATTGATAACAGTACAGAATTGGCAGATCTGATAGTCAATTTTTTTTCGACCAAAGAAAATAATTTCTTTTCATTAATGCTATTGTATTGATGAAAATTATGGAATGAATGAGATTTTGGAATAAATTCATTCTTAGTCCAATGTACACAATCAAAAGTAGCTATCATAAAGTGGCGTGTTATACGTGAAAATTGGCAAACCTATACTTATCTATATCACAAGAAGAGATGATAATATCAAAATATGAATATATACGTATATATTATTTGTTGTAATTAAATTTCATCAGTAATTTTAACCTCAAAAATGAGAAAAATAAAAAATAAAAGATATTTTTAGGTCTTTGGTTTTTATTTTAAATCATATCATATTTGATGAGACTGATATTTTGTTGGATTGCTTAGCACAGTTAGAACGAAATATTATTTTTGGCTAACAATGTAA